GGAATCTGGGGTTGAAGAGAGACTTGGCTTCACAGAGAAGTTATTTCTTGCAGTTAAAAGTTGTGACCATGCCAGGCTTGGATGTTAGGCAGCAAATAAATTCACAAACTCCTGTATGTCAGATTTTAACAGGCTAACGCTTGAGGTAAACGGTGGTTTAAAATACAGTTAAAAATAGAGTAAAAAATACGTAACTTCCTTTTTAATTACACTACCATCTTAATGGTGCCCAAAAACTGAACAATATGATACCCTTACATTAACTTTGTAAAGGATCATAGAATTTTAGTGCTGAATCAATTTATCATCATCATTCAGGATCCTTAATGAGCACTAAATGGGAGTGGAAAAGATTGTAGGATAAACTTTGAATTAGGCTTTATTCAGTTTAGGTTTCAGAAAGAGCTCTCAAATGAAACCAGACTTACTGCTTTCTTGCACCTGTGAAGCAGCATTACTTGGCATTTCAGACCCAAGTGCCTTTTCTTTGGACATAATTACATTCTGTGACCCTTCTAGGCTATTCAGAATTGTTTTTGTGAACAAATCATTAATGAACCTGTGGTTTACATATGGCTATGCTGGTATTACCAGGCCAGGACATTACATTAAGGTTTTATTCATCATTTTACATCATTAGGGGTTTTTTTGAACAATTAGTTTTCACATAGCTTTCCATTAAATTCTTCTGAAACCAACCTGGTATCTTCCCTACCAGCACCACCCATAACAGCCTCCAAAAACCAAGAAATAAGCTGGTGCACACAGGTGGCCCTAGGTCAGCCCAGGCTTTTCACACTGGAGGCTGCCAGGGGCAGCTGGGTCAAAGCCTGGAAGAACAAACAGCTGTGTTTCTGCAGCACCGACCCTGCACTGCCAAACCCAGGCTGAAACAGCAGCAAATACAACTTTCGGTGCTAATATAAGAAATTCTGGGTGGTTCCTCTGCAGCAGAGCACTGAGCAGTCGACAAGACGTGGGCCTGGAAGCAGCACCTCCCAAAATCTGCCCAACCCTCCCTGGCAGGAGCCGAGCATTAACTGACCCCAGGCCCCTTACCACAGGTTTGTGACCCTGGGTGTACACCAGGCCTGGTTCTACCGCCATTATATCATTCCATTTGATATCCAGACATCATTAAATATCAGCAGACGCTTCAGGAGCTGTTCTTATACAGCAGAAGGGGTTGGGATGAGGCCATGAAGGTGCATGTTGGCATGTTTAGGGGAATAGCCCTGGGATGGCCTCTGTGTCTCCAAGGAGAGACCCTTTGGATGCACAGCTCTGCAAACCCCCATGGGCCTCACAGCTGGAAATGGGTCAATGGATCAGCTGGAATAGGACAAGGACCAGAAGGAGGTTGTAACACTTTGCTGGGCAAGCACAGCCATTGAGATGTCCCTGGCTGCTGAGAACAGAGACAAGCAGCATGTGCACAAAAACAGCTCTTTGGAGAAAAGGACACATCACACACACACAGCTGCACCAATACCCTTGCATGCAGCTGTGCTCACAAGCATGAAGACGATTTAAAGTAGCAGCAGAGTCACACAGCTTGAAGAGTGAGCCAAGACAAACACAGCTTCCTAAAACCTATGGCCTTGAGGCCCTTTCTGTTCTCTACAGCTTCTGTCCCAGCACAGGGCCATGTTATTCCTGGAAAACCTCTGTGATTCCTATGCTCTTTCAGCAGCCTTGCTCTGAAAGTTCCAAGGCTCATTTTTCCCCCAATGTCTAACCTGAATTCCTCCAAATAATTTAAGTCCCATGCTGTCTGACCCCAGCAGGCACACAGACTACACTCCCTTCCTTGCCATCACTACTTACGCATTGCCCTTCTTTTAGGCTGAGCTGCCTCAGTTCCTTCCACTGCTCCACACCTCATCCATGCTTGCTCCCAGGCTCAAGCAAAGCTGAGGCCATCCCTGGTGAGGAATCAATGAGGGGGGTTGTGGCCATGCCAACACACTGCTCTCTTGCTCCCCAATGCAGCGCTGGCATCTGTCCCTGCAGAATTACACAGCGTTTACTTTCACATCATTTGCCCTGTGTCCTCCCCTGCAGTCACAGCTTCCCTCCACCTCAACGGCAAACACAGGTACATTCCACTAAACCATTAAGGAAATATTTGCTAATGCCCAGGAGCCTCACTAGGCTATGCTTAACTTTGTTTTCCAGCTAATTTTAAACCACTCTGCCTGCTTGTGGAAGTAGCAAAAACCTCAAGACAACAACAGATGTTTTGCTGTCTCAGGCAAAGTCTCAGATTAGAGATTTCACAAGTAATCCAGCACTCAGCGCTTGGTGCTAAACCAAAGCAGTTTATTTCTGGCTTCCAAGAAATACCCTTCCCTGTGCCTGAGACTGGGCCCAGCCACACCTCAGTTGATTTAGGCACTTTGAGACACCAAGGGATGATTAGATACCTCCTGGAAAAAAAAATCATTCACAAAGCACACTGCTGAGCGCAGGCAGATTTACCATTAGCCAGGCAAAAAGAGGGGACACTACCTCTGAGAATATCTTCAAAGGCTTGTGCAGAATATACCCAGAATAACAAAACTCACCTCCTCTCAAATTAATCCTAAGTATTTACAGAAGACTTTATTGCTAAAATTTAACACTTTTTCCTACCCATCCTCCCCAAGTCTCCAGCAAATTGAAGATGTGGTAGAAAAACTACTTGGTAAAACACTTGGACAGGAAATCATTGTTCAAAGTCAAAAACCTGTCACTAAGATTAAACTTGCTGCTGGAGGTAACGCCAAGAAACCACATCCAGCATCAGTCTGAAGTTATAAGATCAAGCATTATCATCAGGCTGTTACAACTGCTTGTACCAACTCATGCGTGTTAGCCCTGACAAGATGCTCCCAGACACAGAGATTTGCCAACTGCAGACAGCACTGAGGAAAAGCACTGCAAGTTTCAAGAGCAGCACACAGCACATTTCCAGCCAAGGCAAATTCCCAAGCCAAGATAATGCATTGCGGAGCCACTGGAAGTCACACACTGGGCTCAAGGGGTCAAACCCTGAACTTCCCAAATTTCTGCAGAATTACCTGCTTCGAGATGTCCACAGCCTTTGTGCCAGCAGCTTTCAGTGAGCAAATGCAAGCTACAAGCTGTCCAAGGCACTTTGAATGCTAAAGGTCGCTGAAGAAGAGAGTTCAGCAAGGAGCTCAGTTTCAGGCTCTGCAAGTATCTTTTCCTCTCACATCCCACCTCATTTACCGTGACTTTTCAATAAAAACAAAGTGATAACACATCCTGTGTTTTACACAGGTAGTCTTCCAATTGCTATACAGTGTATACAAGTATGTATATAAATGCCTGCAGATTTTATTGAATCAAAGCCCTTAACCATATTGGAAATCAAAGGGGACACAATGAAGAGAGTTGCAAGAGTGGCTCTGGAGTGAGAACACATCAGAACTGAACACAGGCATTAGACTGCTTTAACATCACATCCAAAAGCGGTAAAGACATTTACATCTTGCATAAATTCTTGCTAAATAGAGCTGAACACATTTACTCTTCTCCCATGATTTGACAGCTACAGGAAAAATTAAGCCTTCAGTTCAAACTGTCTGAATTTGGCAACATGAAGTTCAGCCTGCATCTCCACAGAGGTACTTGCTTCAGGAGGTCACTGTCTTACAGTCCTCCACTTTGTCCAACAAGGAAATTGCACAATACACCCTTCATAGGAAAATATTTACACAGAAATTTTAAGCTACTGTTGAAGCGATTTAATTTTCCTAAAAATCTGCTAATGCATATCTAGCATTTTTTTTTGTGATCCTACACTCAGTGTAATTTAAATAGCATTTGAAACATTCCAACAGGAATCACATTGCACACAAGAAGCAGTTTGCTTCTCTAACATTTCTGCACACCTGCTTAGAGCCTGTGCATTTAGTGCACAAGTTTACAATGCCAAGCCTCTACATAGGTACCTAATAAATGCTACAGAACAGTTCTTTGGAATGAGGGCAAGCATCTCAGTCTCTAGGGTGTAACAATTTAAGGCTTCTTGCAGCTTCATTTTCTTGGTCAGTGAAAGCCAGAGGAGGTGCCATCCACTTCCACTCCTGGTTTGCAGTCTCCAATTTAATCAGGTAGACTAAAGCCCATTGCAGTTTCAGATGCACAGACTAGTGACAAGTCAGTTGCGGGTCACTCCAGGCCCTTCTGGAAGGAGGGATGCAAAGAAAGTCTTGAAGAAAACCCATGCTGTGCTCATAAATGAGGGAGTGGCCTGCTGCAGTTCTTGTAAAGCTTGTCCCTCATCAGGAGATGCCTCAGGTTCATCAGCTCTGCCTGCATTTCCCTCCTGCCAAAAGAAATTTGGTAAATTATCTTATTTCAGAAATGCATTAAAAGAATCAGGCATCAAACAGCATGTTTTGTTACCTAAATATCACACTCAGAATATAAAACCCATGCAAGTATCCCCAGACACACACAAAGCTGAAAAACCAAGCTGCACTCTAGTGTTGTTGGTTAAGTCATGCTGTGTGTCCAAGAACACCGTTTAGGACAATCAGGTGAACTATACATGTATTTACAACTAATTAACTTTCACTGACATCAACCAGAAGTGTCAGCTTGAAATGCAAGCCTCAGATTGCTAAAATACTCAAATCCTGCCAGATGCAGTAATCTAAACCTACCTGTTCAGCCTGTGACAGACCACTCCACTACAGCAGCCTAAAGGCCAGAAACAACTAGAAGATAATTTGCCCAAGATAATTTGTAGAAGAGGAGTTAGCTACAAAGGAGGAAGCAGGCTGGCAATGATTCCTCCATGGAAGAGTTTCTGGTGAAAGTTTTTGCTATTGCATTTAATTAGTAAACTAATACTTTCATGCTGATGATTAAAAAAAAACTACCAAGGCAGTACCTGCAAGTTATTGTTCTGGTCCTGGTTTACAGCAGCTTGAGGAGGAACATTGCCTGGGAAGGGCTGGACTGGTCTTCGTCTAAATGGAAGCCATCCAACATGGTGCCTGGGGAAGGCAATACATTTTTATTAATACTGCTTGAACTTCACTCCTTCCTGTCATACCAGCAGAGTTCAGGTAGCCCCTGACAGCAAGTTCAGCACACTGAGGTCTCTTTTGCCCTGACCCAGAAAGGGCTTTCAAAGCCTCCTGTTAGCAGCAAACCATGAGGTAGGAGGGGAAGACTGTGCATCTGTTCACATTCAAAATAAGCAGCACTACACTCAGGTTTGTAGCTAGCACACTGCTAGAGGTACAAAAAGCCTGCTTGTTAAGTATGTTCTATACAGCCTGGGGTTACTCTTGGTACTCACCCTAAAAAGACAGGCACAACAAAACATAGCAGGCCATATAGACCTTAGAAGGTATCTCTACAGCACCTGTACCTTGTAACCCACAGTATAAACTGTTCAAAACTACACTTAATCTTTATCATTAATTTAATGATAAAATTAAAGGACTTTTAATATGAGGCACTTAACCTTCACTCTCCAAGTCTGCATAGAGGTTGGAAGAGCTGATCATTTGAGCTGCTCTAGTTTCAACTCCTAGACCTACTGACAGGAGTTCATAAGCCTCCATCACTTTCTTCACTGGTGATCAAAGAATGAGAGGACAGATTACCTCTCAGACAAGACATCAAGCACGTAAGCTGAGGGCCCATTATCTTTATTGTGCTTTTAATATTTCCCCAGTTTTCCCTTCTAGAGAGGCTCAAAGGCAATTCAGGACACTGCATGCAGTTTAGCTTAGCCTGCTCACTAGAGAACACACAGCAGAAAAACCTGCATTGGTACATGACTTGGATAGCAGATGAGAGGTGCTCTTCCCAGACTTCCAACACCTGTTTCCCAACAAGCAACTGTCACTGACTGCACTGAACCTACAGATCTGTCTGCTCCACACCACCAAGCTGCTGGGGCTTTACACCAAGACCTACTTAGATTTCAAATACTTTTCTAAACAGCAAGCCAGCCACACCAGAAGCATTAATACAGAAAATAGGTAAGATTCCACCTAACACCACCCATTCTTCATTTCATCCAGGCATAGGCTATACTTAATTTTTTCCTAAATACTGAGTTACACCAGGGCAGAGGAGTGGTGCACCTTCTTGAGGTGTAAGAGTCATAAGGAGCTCAACTTTCAGGAAGCTGACCCTGGTACAAAGCTCAGTACTTCAGTAAAACCCCTCTGAATACAACAGTAAATATTAATGTCATGCACTTACAGGTACATCAGCACAGTGCCACCCATCACCAGGAGGAATCTGCTGATGCTGGAGTAGAAATAGATAATGTTGACAAAAACATAAAACAGTGTTGCTGAGTAGAGCCAGTCCAACCAGTCTCGATTGCCACCCTCCTCCTCTCTCTCCATGAGGGGACCCCCCTGGGCATTCATCCCCAGGTTCTGGTTGGCCGCTGCGTTAACCTGGGCAGCAGCATTCAGGTTGCCAGGCTGGTTTTGGGCAGGAAATGGGTCTGGGAGAGGAGCTGGGGGTGTCACTGGTGCCACTGGTATCTCCTGAGAACGTTGTGCATGGGATGGGTCAGCAGATGCAGCAGTAGATGCCAAGCTGAAACCAGAGAACACAAAGTACAGAATAAGGCCCAGGCAAATCCTTTCACAACACAGATGGACAAATTTTCACTGCCTTAGTAGAGTCAGTCACATGCAAGCAGAAAACATCAAGTTTAGAGACTACAGAAGGGCTAAAAACAAGTTTTAGTTCTACCCATAACAGTTATAGTGACTTCAGCAAGTCGAACCAGGCAACTTCCGCTTTATAAATAAAAATTTTAGTATGCCACAAAAAACTCTTTAGAGCAATGTAAAGGTAGTCTGGAAGGCTGCTGAGAGTCTCAGCTTTACCTCTGTCACTGATTTCCAGTCAGTGCTCTGTGTGCTGCTTTAAGCAGTCAAAAAAGTAAAGAGCAAAGGCTCATCTGCAGGATTACACTGACTCTACAAACACCTGCCATCCCAGCCAGAAGAGTCAGAGATCTGCAATTTGCAAGAAAGCCAAGCACCATGTGACAGAGGTACATCCCCACACCATTCAGCGTCAGTTACTATGAAAAAGACTCTTCCAACTACCATCAAAAGAGGAAGATCTCAATTTCCTTGTATTACAGTTTCTACAGTTCCTACCAGTGGCTTTGGATAGAAAACTTACTATTGCATGTAATATTGTCTTGCATAAATCTGCTGAAACCAGGACATCTGAAGCATGCTGTAGGTTGTGTAAGCAGAGAAGCCAGGAGCCACACATTGGAAGGGGTGACGAGTCGTTTCCAGCCTTGGTCAAAATTTGAACACATTCATTAGCAAATACCAGACAAACTGCAAGAGTCATTTATTACAGGACAACGTAAATAATTTCTGCCATTTTGTGCATACAAATGCAAAATAAATTCTTCCTTTGAAGATATTAAAGACATCTCTTTACCCACATGAATAAATAAAAGATTTTCAACTAACAGAGCATGTTGCTTTAGTTTCTTCCATATCCACTACAGCTTTTATATATAAGCTCATAATCTCGGCCCATGTTCCGTGTGGCATAAGGAGCTGACATCCCACACAAAGCCAACATTAAGAATCTTAGTGATGTACATAAAAATTGTACTTACCCATTACTGGCTTCTGCTGAAGACTGGCCAGCAGAAGAGCATCTTGGTCTTGCACTATCTGAGGAAGATACAGATGGTTCTTGACTGGCTTCCGACGGTAACTTTGGCTGATCAGCTTTAACCTAGGGACAGCAACGCAGATAATGGGGTTTAGTCAGGACACTATATGAGCCCTATGCAAAAAGAGTACCCTCTTATTTTTTAACTGCTGTGCTGCCACAGTACTGACACTGCTGTTGGGCACCATGCCACAAGCACCTCCATCAGTATTTTAAAGCTTCTTAAAAATGACTGGCATATAAAACTGACTTGATGTTACTCTTCCCTCTCACCGGATCTACACCTGTATTTATTAATTTTTACATATAGAGTCAGGTCCCATCTAGTTATAAAAATGAAATTGTAAGGAAGAGGGAACTGCATTCCAGACAGTGACTTCTTAGCTACAAGTTTGTACTTGCATACACAAACCACAGTACACACGAAATTCAAGAGCTGTACTGTGGCAATACATCTGTGTAATATCCAGAGCAAGACTGGCTCACATCTAGCAACCAGCAGACATGGGTAGGCTCAAATTGCCTATAATGGGCAATATAAACACCTCTAGACACATTAGCACATCCACTTGAAAGTAAAAATTGGTTTTGGCCTTTGTACTTAAGAACAGTAAGTACTCAGCTCCAGCACTAAGGCTCATCTTTGGCTTCCTCTCTACAGGCTGAGTCATGAATGAGAGCAGTTAAAGTGTTTTCAGCCAATAGCATTCTTCCTTCCCTGCACTCATTACAGAACCACTTCCACCTTCACTGCATCTTCTGCCCACAAGCACAGCCTCTGGCCGAAAGAGCCTGGGGCACTACAGATCATATTCTATTTAACAAACAGATATTCTATTTATTTCATATTTATTTAACAAATCTGAGTTTACCAGAAAGCATTTACCCTCTAATCAGTCGGTGTGTTACAACTAGATTTTCATATTTCTAACAGATGCCATGAGGATCTTTACTGATGAACTGTAGAGTTATTTTACTCAGCTTAATCCAAATACATTTTCACATTCCTAAACAAATTATCACAAAGTAATACTTACTGGCTTTGCACTAACAGGAAAAGTCTGCAGTACCAGCAAACTTCAAAATAACTATTCAACACTTCCCATTTTCAGTCACATCCCCAAGATTCAGCGTAGTATGTTAACTTAGTGTAAGTACCTCTGCACTGGTTTCTTGCACATTTGCTGGAGTCTTGAAGTTGTACACCAAATGAAGAGCATGCAACTCCCCATGCTAAAAATGTAAGTGAAGACAGGTTAAAAAAATCACTTTTTTTTATATACTTCAGCACATCATAAAAGACTTTTTTATACCTTTGGCAGCAAGTCTCTCAGATAATGATGATCAAGCAGCAGCTTCCCAGAATAAATCAGTTTTTGGTCCTCTTCAGGCTTTGAAGAAAGGAAACAAACAATAGGATTACTTGCTCTACTAAACACATACAAGCATTAACTGACAACTTGCAGCTGGATGGACAGGGACACACAACTGGAAGCACCCCACATTCAGGTGCAGAGGGAATTGTGCACATCTAAATGCAGCGAACTGAAAATGAGAACAATTGAATACTGAAGCACAAAATGACTAGCCCTGAGGTCTGAATCAGCAGGATTTAAAGCCACCCTTTGGCAAAAGACTGTTACATGCTGTCTCTTTTACAGTCTGGACAAAAACATCTGTGTTTCTTAGAAACAGAGGTTTGGAGAATGATCTGATCGGCACTGGAGAGGGTGTCAAGTAAATCCATTACACCCCACCAGCTGAACCTCGGCTGCTGCCCCTCTGGAGCCAGCCAGGGAAAGGACAGTGACCTTGTTTCACTCGTCGAGAAGTGAGGCAAAAAAAGCACATCCTGCTGCCGAAAGGCTGGGGTGCAGCAGAGCACAGCAATGCCACGCTCACTGAACCTCCGCGGTGGTTGCACCGCGCCCACGGCCCGAAAGGAAGCCAAACTTCTGCCTTTTCACCACCAAGCACCTCCATAAACCCAGTTACCTCGCTATGGGCAGACTGAGCTGCCTCCCGTTCAACAGGGAAAAAGCCTTCAGAAAAAAGCCCCGTCAGCTGTCTCCGCCAACCCCACGGTGCTGAGTCCCGGGCGCTACCCGCCCGCACTCCACCCTCCCCGGAGCTCGCCCGCAGCAGGTGCAAGCAGGCTCCCCGACAGCGGCTGGCGCTGCCAAACACCGCGCAGGACACGCCGTCCTGAGGAGAGCGGTTAACATTTAACAGAGAAGACAGGCGAA